CTGCAGGGTAAGGACAGAGAGCAGTAATAGAGAGCTGACAACTAGTTCTGGCAAGAAACACATTTGTAATGGCAAATTGCCTTTGCCACAGAAGTCAGAGTACTTTCACAATATATAAAAAGGTTTCACAGAACCCAAATCATCTGCCTGCCTAAGTAGGCTGTGATTTCCACTCCTTGCTTGAGGAGCTAAATTCAAATGCTCTTTCCTTCCCTTTGCCTGTCTTCATGCCTGAGGCTCCCCATTGTAAGAAAAATATCAGTGAATTGCTACTTCTTTCATAATGAAGCAAGATAATTAAAAATGAATGGTCAGTTTGGACCTTTGACTGCTGCTGCTGCTGGGAATTTCATTAAAGAAAATTATGCTCCTTGAAGTACCAGCCTTTATGTAGATTTGATTAATGAAGATGCTTGTTCTTCTTTCACTCTGACATTTGGGCTGATTATCGCTTTTCATTTTGATTAAAGTGTTTGTTTTTACATGCAGGGTTCCTTTGAAACTCTTCTTCAAAATCTTGTTCAGTTACATTAAAGTTGTTTTTCAGAAAAGTTAAATTATTAAATAAAATGAAGAATTTACCATCCTCACCTTCCCAGAAGAGCTCTAAAAGAGCAGAAGGTTACTTATTTGGAAAATAGGCCAAGAGCTTTATTCTCTGATACCTTGAGGGATTGATCAGGGCACAGGCTCAAGCCATCAAGCAGCCATTAATTTGACATGAAAATATGTATTGTTATTGCTGTAAGCAATGATATCAACAAATTCATGTATACCTAAGGAAAAATCATTTTACCAGTGCCATTAAAGGAAGTTTACATTGGGAACCTAAAAAAATCAATACTAACATTTACAGATAGTATTGGATAACAGCCTCTGTATTACCTAGTGTTCTTCAAAACACCATGTAACTTTTGAAATATATTTTTCAGGTCAAGAGGCATTGCAAATGTGTCCATAACTGCTTCATTTAAGCCTGAAAAAATCAGTCTGCTGAACAAGAATACAGATATAACTGTCAAAATATGCTTTCAGGCTTCATTTAGACCTGCTAAGAAAAATAATCAAGTGGGTAAGAGTATTTCAATGATTTGTTTTATATTAATTTCTGCAAAAGTCAATTTTTTAAATGAGTAAGGGAAAGTCTAAGTATGTATTAGATTGAATATCAAGAATCACAAAATCAATGTAAAACTTAAGTGCTTGAGAAAGTGTTTTTAAGACCTAGTTCATCACTGGCTCCATACTCTTTGAAAAGTGGGGAATTAACAGTATAGAGGACAGCTGTGTCCTTGTTGTTCAGTAATCCCCAAAAATGTAATTAATGAGGCGATAGGTTCATCCAACCTTCCCTTTTTCAACAAGACTGCATACTTCTCCTCTTCATAAAAAGAAAATGAAATATTTTTCCGAGGGTCACAGCAGTTTTCAGTGGGAGGAAGCTCTTCTTTTCAGAGCACAGTGAATATTTCTGTGACCAGCAGTGGGCTCCCATGAAGTTTTTTAGTTCAGTCTCACAGACAACACCAGTTGGACTGCTTCAGTGCTACATAAAGTGCCTTTAGGAGCTCATGATTTTAAGCTATAAAATAACAATGAACTTTCACAATAGAATAGTCATAAAACAAAGAGGAGGTGGCAGAAATTATTATGTGATTGAAGAGAAGATGCAGATTGTTTAAAGTCACCTCTGAGTTCAGTGACATTGTTGCAAAGCCCCTTTACCTAGGGTAACCCTGGCCCTGCTGACTGGCTTCCGGCCTGACCTGCAGGCTCAGACATCTGCAGTGGAGGCTGGATTGATTTCCATTTGATGTGTCCCTTGCAAATCAGGACCTAAACCTGTTTGACTCCCTTGGAAAACACCAGAGAAAGTATTTTCATTTTGAAACTGTTCTGTGTTTAGCTATGAAAAACATGAAATACTTAGTGTGGTCAGGAAAGCCTGGTCCCTGTAATACTGAGCATAGTAACGAGATCACAGGCAACCATGCTCAGTCAAAAATGTACTGTTATTCTTCTTGTAGCTATAAAGTACAATGCAACATTGGATGCAGATCTTCAGTCCTCCAGAGTGACTTCTAGAGGATTTTTCAAAGAAAATAATGAAAGGTACATGCAGAGGGATCTTGTGGTGCATAATGAAGAGAATTGTGTTCATGATGTCTTCAGTGTACAAGTAAGTTCAATTGCAAGTACTCTTGAATAGCAAAAGATCAGAGGAAGGCGTGGATGAATTTTTGTCTGTAATGTGAATTTCATGGGTGGTATACTGAATTATTTATGTTTCCCAAATCCCCTGAGCTGAAAAATACTTAATAAGATTATGATTTCATAGAAACTATTAACTGTCACATTCAGTACAGATTTTTAGGATAGGAAAGAGGGTTCTTAATTGTGTTATTCAGCTTTGGTGTAAAACAGAGCCCATGGTCTACAGTTTCAATAGATTTTAATTTCCCTCTGAGTAGACTGTTTTGTAAGAACTGCTAAAACATACATGCAGATGTTTTCTTCAGACTAATATTTAGGCAGAAGTTGCATGCATCCTAACCCATGGTACACAACAAGGAATTAAATAGAAATAAGCAGGTCTCCATTTTTCTCCAGAACCAAAGACTGAACAGAGCTCTGAGGCTTGCCTTAAGCTCTGTTGCATGATGCTAGGTCAGGTAGAGGACTTCTGTCCCTGCTGTGGTTTGCAGTGACCTATTGATCACATTTAGTGCCATGTGGAGCAGTGAGCCACAGGGCTAGATGGTGATTCATCCAGGACTGAAAAAAAGAGGAAACATGGCATTTACTGTGTTTTAGTGTCACTCAGGCCCAGATGCTCTTTGTGATGGTAAGACAGAGTGGAATAGGAATTTGACTTCTGCAGTTAGACGAGAATGAAAGCTATCTGGTGAGGCTTTGACGACCAGCTCCTACAGCTGCAGACAATCTGCACGTTCCTTAGCTCTAGTAGTTACTGTGATGGGCACAGTCTCCAGGAATCCTGGAAAAATCAGTTTTATCATTGCAATCGCACTGAAAACTGTCAATCTAGAGGAGCCCACACTGGTCAATCGCACAAAATTATTTTCTTTAAGAAATGAAGCTTTGAACTGTTGCTTCTCCTTGTTTAGAGCAAGTATTATTTTACTGCGCGCTCTCAATTCACAACAGAAATTACCAATTTTATGCAGTTTTCTGTGCTGGCAGCCATCATCTGAACCTTTTGTGTTTTACAGGAGCCTTCAGATGCTGTGAATTCACTTAGTTTGCGCATTGACATTGGCCTTGCAAATCCTGGCTCCAGCCCTGTCCTGGACATATCTTCTCCAGCATCTGTGGCCTATAGTGTAAGTATGCAGATTTACTGTTCAGAATTGCATGGCCATACACATCCATAATGTGTGGCCCCCACAAACACCGAAGTGAAACACATGCAAGTGAAAACTGGTGCTCTGTGTAAGTCACATGGAGGGGTGTCCCCTGGTTCCTTTCATACCTTTGCCTGTGTTACGTGAGCTTGCTCACATGCACACACACACACACACACCCACACCAGCCACTGAAGCACATAACAAGCGTGTCAGTTCAGCCATGTCACCGTTGATGTGAACTTCTAGTTGATGACAAAGATTAATTCTTTCAGTTTATTCTTCAGTAAAGGGGTAGAGAGAAGAGAGATGGAACTAATTTGACTACATCACCTTTGTTGTCATTGAAGAGTAACCTGTCTGTACCATTCTTGGATCAGTTGACATGTTGCAACACATTATTCAGTTCACTCGTTCACTTGTCAAGATTTTTAATGTCCTTCAGAGGGATTTTCTTATCTGCAAACCAAGAACGTGCTTCAACTTGAAGGTGTTTGCACTCTAGTGTCTTCAGATCGTGTTAAAAGTTGAGCCCTGTCATTCAGGAAATGTTTTTGTTTTTCCTAGATTCCTTTTATTAAAGACTGTGGTGAAGATGAACTTTGTGTCTGTGATCTTGTTCTGAATGTTCAGCAGAAGGCAGATGATGGGTAAGAGCTGAATCAGTGGAACTGTTAAGGTCCAGTGTCCAGTGTTTTCAACAGTTGGTTTGTCTGTAGGCTTTAGATTCATTTCTAGAGGGGAATGCCTTTCCAGTTCAACATCTAGTTAGAAACAGCACGGATAAAAAAAGCAATGGCATTTTAATCTAAATTTAATCAAGGAAAAAGAGGTAGGATAGGGATACAAACACAGAAGTAGAACTCTAGGACTCTTGTCAGCTTAGACCAATCCAAGTTTTGGTACCTTAGAGATGAGGACATAGTGAGTATTTGGACAAATTGTATGTGACTGGCCGCTGTTGGGAAAGGGAGCACAATGGGAGAGCAGCAGCAGCTGCAGCAGCTGCTTTCATCCCTCCTGCAGGGAGCAGTGAGGATCCTGCAGTAGCTGTGCCAGTGGGGAGTTGTGATCAGCTATCTGGGCAGCACATATTCTAAGTCCATGTCAGATGTATATGCATATATATGCATCAGAGATAAGGCTGCCCATGTGGGCTGCCCACTCTGTCCACCTTCCCACCAGGAAAGACCCCTTGAAAATTCAGCAGTCACTTTGACAACACATAATCAAAGTCCTGCACAGAATACAGTAAATCTATCTGGTTTCAGGAAGCACCATCACAGAATTTCTTATGCCACAGGGTTTAGAAAGCAGTGTTTAAGTGTGTACAATGTAGGAAATGTCTTGCTGTGCTTGTTATTTGTTGTTGGCTTCAGGCAACACATTTTCCTGATCCACAGCTGTTCTAGTACCTCTATTTACAACAATGGACTTTATTTTCCAACAGCAAACAACAGTTTATTGTCAGCAGCAAAAACAGAAGACTAACATTCAATGTGAAATTGAGAAATAAAAAGGAAAATGCATATAACACCAGAATCCAGGCTACATTTTCAGACAACTTGTTTTTTGCTTCATCTTCTTTACCGGTGCGTGATACCCAGCTTCACTGTTTCTGTAATTGCCCCTGATTTTTGAACTTCTCAGAGGAATTTTCTTTTTTCCTTTCTAGCAGTGCCTATTCCAGAAAAGAATGTGCATGCAAAACTCTCTCACAATTTGTTTTCTTGGATACCAGAATTATTCCCCCAGCAGATCAGTTTATTTAGGTCAAGGAGAGATATTTCCAACTCAGCATAAAAGCTGGCAACTTTTCGAGTTTGACCTCACCTCAGACATCTTTTCCTCACTTTAGGCCTTGGCACCTGCATCTGCTTAACTCCCAGCAGAATGCCTGAAGCAGTTGCTATGCCATAGGGAATTTGTATTTGATAAATCAGATGTGCAGTATTGATGATGAGTCCTTAAAACACAGACTTTGGATCTAGAAATAGTGTTACTGCCAAGGCCATGTGTTCCAGCTACACAGTTAATCAGATTGACATGATGGCTATACCAAAAGCTCTTCTTCCAACAAATTTTATCTTAGAGAAAGCAAAAGAGAGGAAATATGCATACTATTTTGGGGAATGCAGTATACCTATAATTCAAATTGTTGCTCCCAATTCACAAAGGATGAAATGCAGATTTCAGTGCTTGACTTATATGGTCAGGCTCCTACTGGAGAGGTGCGTGATAATCCTGGGGGTGAAATCCAGAGCAATCCCTGTACTGAAGGGAGAGGAGGGATAGCATTCATTCCTGCCCAACAACAGCATTATTCTGAACAATGAATTGGCAAAAGTACTGCACACAGCACTGGGGGTGCCCCTCTACCTCCCCATCCTGTTGTGCAGCAAGATTGTTAATTTCAGTCCTGCCAAAAGACCACACTGGAGCTAGAATTTTCTTTTGCTTTAGAAGCTCTTTTGCTTAGAAGCACTTCAGCCTGCAAGTGAGGTTTGGACCAAAAATGTGCCTGCTTCAAGGCAGGAAGAAAAAAATAAACTGAGTATATATGGGTCTTTTTGGAGGTCTTGTTTTGAGGGTTTGTTGTGGGTTTTTTTTTGGTAGCACAATTCATGAATGGTAAATGTCTAGTAGGAATGTTTTTTACAAAAGACAGTACTTTTTAATAAATTCTTCTCTAAGGATTGATAATTGGCTCTGGTCTGTGAATTTGCCTTTGAATCAAGGATGATGACAAGCCAATATTCTGGAAAGTAGTAAACAAACTATTATGTATGGCAGATTTTCTTACAGAAAGTTTCATTTCTTCCAGCTCTAAGACTGTGTTGATATATCTGCAAAAGTTCTGTAAAAATTCTGTAAAAAAAAGACTTAGAGAAGTTAGTGGTAGAGGTGACCTGTACTCTCTGGCCTGTATTCCTCCTTCCAAGCTCAGCACAAAGTTCTAGTAAGATGATTGCAACCTACAAGAAATTGAGTGGGAATGGTCCTTGTCACTTTCCTTGTGACTTCCTCCTGGCCCTGCCTATGCCCCACCTATCTACTGCATCTCTAGGATTTACTGCCATAACACCTATTTTCACTCCTCCGTACCATAATACATATGCTGTTGAAGCTACACACCTCTCTGCCTTATCAAAACCTGACATAAGATGGTGTTTCTGTCTGTTTTCTCTGCAGAGTGATGGGACTGAAGTCTCGTGTCAAACAGGAACAGCACAAAGTACAGTCATTTGCCAAATAAGCTATCCTGTTTTCAGAACAGGACAACAGGTACAGCTAGCATGTTTAAATAACCTTGAATGATACCCAAAACCTTCTCTGCTGTTGTTTTTTCCTAAGTCTGCATTTATTGCTGATAAATGTTTCTTAGATTTTACAACAGAGGTATTATAATAAGCAAACTAGGGCTTAAAATATGTGACTCCCTGTCAGATTAAAGGACAAAGGATTCTCAAAACTCATTTGTCAAAACCCACAGCTTCCAAATGCTGCTGCAGTTATGTAACTTTTGGAGAGTGAAAGCTGGGGACAGAGAAGCATAGAGCATCATGTGCAGGCTCCTGAGAACTGAGCACAATTCCCATCAATACCCTCCTGCAGTGTGAACCTGGGGTAACTCCCTCTCCTGCTCAGTGAAACTCATCTCTTCAAGAAAGCAGTATTGTTTTGGGAGGAGATGAGAGGCCCACACAGCCCTAAGATGAAGTGCCTATCTTTTTTTTCATATACACCATAAACCTCAGGATATCCACAGTTTCATGAAATCTCTTATTCCTCAAGGGCAGAGCAGAAACTGGGTTCTAGCCTCTAACATAATCAGCTAGAGCAATAGGAAACTTGCTTGAAAGAACAGAAGCATGATGTCCTGTGGTGGGACATGTGGAATAATGAAAAAAAAATCATATATAGAAAGTTCAGCCTGTTCTGAATGTTAATGGAATTGCTCAAAGTGGACCTGCTGAAACAAATGGAAGAAAAGAGTGAATACAAAGCTTGTGTCAATGCTAGAGTTTAAAATGAAGGAATTGCGAACACCTTTTGTTGCACCTTACAGCTAGTTGTACACAATTTTAAAATGCAAATGACTCATGTTTATGTAAAAATGCCAACTTGTAGGGGAATGTAAGAACAAATGAATTCTGACTATTAAGACATTACTGAAATATTACATGGAAATCTGTAGAGAATTCACATATAGAGGGCAGTTCTAGATTGTTACACACATGAATAATGTCTTTTGGGATGTTGTACCAACTTGTTTACTATGTGTCACTTGTCTCTTCTGTAGGTATCATTTGATATTAGCTTTGATTTCAACCTTAAAAATCTTCAGAATGTGGCAGTTCTAAGTTTTCGTGCATGGAGGTAAAGTACATAATGATCTGAAAGCAAGTTAGGTATTAAAAGTTTAATTGTATAAAGCAATATTTTTACACTTGACTCAAATGTGTTTTGATGAACAGTGAAAGTAAGGAACAGCAAGACTCGGACAACCAGGTCGCCTTATCAATTCCTTTGCGATATGATGCAGAAATTCACTTCACAAGGTATGCTGATGTATGTAAACAGACAAGAGCATTTTGACAAGCTACTTGAAGTAACAGTCTTGAAAGGCCACTAAAATATAATGAAGCTTTGCTTTTGTTTTGGAAGTCATAAGAAATTCCCTCTTCACCAGTAGTTGCAGATTTGTCCATCCTTCCAACCAAACTTATATGTGAAAAATTAGGAAAGCTGTGGACCCGTGTTTACCTCCAAACACTTGTTACAGATGCTCCTGTGAGCAGAATTGATAAAAAGATCGAACGGTGCATGTGGTTTTGATAACATAAATAGTATATACTGTATAATAACACTGGGCTTCTTGGCTCAAATGGAATGACATTGGATCAAAACTGGAGTTACAGTGATCAAAACTAAACAAAGGAATATCAAAAGGAAAAATATGCTCCCCTCAGTAAAGGAGGGAAAGAAAAAAACAAAAAAAATTATGGACGTATCTGCTGAACCTAGAGCAAGAATATAAATTTTTTAGCAGTTTGAGATAATGGTTTGAACTAAAACCTGAGGTACACCTGGCAGATTCTCCCTTGCTGCAGCTGCACTTGCACTGGAAGCAGACATCCTACTTTCCCATGCACCTATCCAGATTCTGGCTCAAACCTACCCCCCCTGTCTGGTGCCAGCCCATGTAGAAGGCAAGCCAGGGCTGTTGCAAGAGAGATCCTTTACCCTGGAAAGGTAAGAGGAGAGGCAGCTGAGCAGGCAGGGGGAGCGAGACCAACAAGAAGCCTTTTGAGACCTTTTATCTTCATGCAGTGCTCTTGAAAGTCCTTATCTTGAGCCCTGAAAACACTTGGTGATTTGGGATGCACTCAAACAGTAATTAGTCTGTTGCTGTTCCAAACAAGAATTATTTCAGTTACAGTTTAACATAGATTGTAACTGAAACAAAAATACATGGGTATCACTCTTGGATCAAGGTAGGATGTTTGAATTTTCATCAAAGAATAGATTTATTTATCTCTCCCAAATACTGAATTTCTAGGATCAACATGTAATTACACTTAATGCACTTGGTCACCAATTCTTGATGAAAAAATGCTTTTTCATCCCAAAATGTTAAAAAATTAGTAAATATAAATCTAAAAATCCCAGTAGATATTCTCTTTTATTTAGAGAATAACATAAATTTTTAAAAGAGGAAGCTGCTTCAAAATGCACAGCAACTATGGATCCAGGAAATTAATATTCAGAGATTACCATAGCTACAAGTACTGTTGGCTGCTGTGTAGGATGAGCTGGAAGAGGGACCACAGTACAGAAGATTAATGTTACAACCTTCTTTGCAGAAGCAGTTTCAAAATATTTGAGACATGCATCATGAATAGGTGCACCAGTCTAGGAGTCATGCAGAATTTTTGAGATTATTTTTAAATGCAGAAAAGCATTTATGTCAGTGGTTCAAGTTCTTTCAGGTTCTTGAGAAAGCTGCATGAGACCTCACCAGCAGCAGCAGAGACTGCAGGAGCATCTGTGCAGAGGGCTAGCTTCTTAGGAAATTCAGATGGTGCAAACTTGAATCAGTGGGTTTAATTAGCTGAGAAATATGGATTGAAATGAAATGCTTCAGAAGAAGTGAGGAATGGAATCTATAAAAGTTATTCAAGGGAAAACAAGAGTTTGAATTCAGCTACATCTCCTGAATATGAAAAAATTCAATTTCATATGCACATCAAAGAATGAAGGAATACCTACTGCCAGAAAATAGTTAGTTATTTTTGCAGATAATAAATTTTAAAGAATTAAATAAAATGCATATTAAGCCATGGCATAACTTGGCTTAGAAAGTATTTACCTGGAATTAGTTCTTTCTGAGGCAGGTGATGCAGCCAAGAAGTAATCCCTTGAAATACAAGAGTTGAGAAAAAAAGTATTGTTTTGCTGAAGTTAAGTCTTTCTAGGGATAATTTCCTGAGTTTCTAGGAGAAGATGTAGCAATGTCTTTCCAGAGACTTCTGAAAGGACTAGGAAGCTGATACTCCACATCTTGAAAGGACTGGAGTCTTCAGCAGTGAGAAAGAAGAAAATATGTCATGTGTGTTTTCATTGGAGTCCTTGTAAGCAAGTCCTTCAAGGAAAGGGCCCATGGGAGAAAGAGGAGGTTCAGAAAGGATCCACAGTGCAGTATGGAGGACCACCATTGATCAGGAAGCACATCTGTGAGACTGTACACACATTAAATTAGGATGGTACTCACGGATGTTACCCAGATTAAACAGGGAGAGAACAATAAAGATGATAGATTCCTTGTGGAACAGGAAGAGCTGATGTAGGAGTTGTAATAGCCTCTATTTATTGTTAAGTCACCAGTTTGCTTTTTGACTGCTCAAATTAGCCTTCTAATGAAAGGTAATGATGAAGAGCAGATACAGTTCTGGCATGATTTAGCAGAGGAGCTGCTCACAGGTAGCAAGCAGTGGGTGTGATGCACTGCACAGGGGTGTTTTCCTTGCCTTTGAGCATGGTTCCGACTAACTGAGCTCCTCAAGCACCCACAGTTCCTTGCACCATTCCCTTCCATCACACACCTGCTATTCCATGCTGCAGTGAGCTGAAACCACCCTTGTGTTACTTTGGAAATTCTGGATTTTAAACCTCATAATTACTGAACAATGTGACCCAAAGAGGACTATGAGGGCTATGTGATATGTGCCATCTACATAAGCAGGGTGATGCCTGTGTTTCCACCCCCAGCCAGTTACAGATGTACCAAGGGATACAGACAGGAGGGCCCTTCCTGAGTAAAAAGGTGACTGCAAGGGTGAATGTTGCAGTTTGTGCGCAGAGAAGTTTGCACTATGGCCCTGAAACAATGCAGGGTCTAGAAGCCTGAGAGAGCCTGTATCCCGTACAATTCTCTTGTCTTAATTTCACATGTTTGTTCCAGCTCTGGGCTTCAGCACACCATTTTCTTAACCAACTTTGTAAAATTCAAACAACAATCTAAGTGACTGACTTCTCTCTCTGTACTTCTGACCTGTTTCACAAAGGCATATCCAGTAACATATGTTTTCAAAGTAGCTGCCAAATTGAAATGTATTGTTTTATGGTTGTTAACCAGGCTTGCCAATATCAACTTTTATGAAGTATACTCTGGTCATAACATTCCTTCCACTGTGAATAATTTTGAAGATATTGGCCCCACGTTCAACTTCTCAGTTAAGGTTAGTAAGTCTGTTTTGTTCTGGTTCAAGAAGTTGCCTTAGCTCCCTCTGTAGCCTGCTCCCAAAACCTTGTTTAAAAAAACACTCCTGCTTTCATTGTCTGATTTTGAAGCTTTTGAATAAGTCAAATAAGAAAAAAAAAATTGCAAATAGGATTAGTTCTTGGAGTCTTCATAAGGTTAAGGATGACATTTGCACCAGTAGAATGGGGGAGGTATTGGTCCTGCACTGTGTACATATTTAGAAGATGGTTAATGCTTAACTTTAGGCCAGCTTCGACTGTTTTTTCAGAGTCTCCTGACAACTTGATAAAGAAAAACAAGTGTTTGCAGGCTTGGACTTTGAAACTTGAAGTTTGGCGAGGGTTAAGGGCTCAAACCTGATGCAAGAACTAGCCAAATCACAGTGCTTATTACATAACACAGAAAAAAAACGTAGATCCAAATATGCAACGTGGAAGAAAGTTAAATTATGTTCCATTTCCATTCCTGTAACTGCTACTCCAAAGGACTAAACAGGCCCATTGGCCGTGGCAGAACATTTGCTTTTCAAAACATATTTCATGCAGTTAATATGAACTCTGCTAAGAAAACAGACAGGAAACTGGAGCTATACAATATACTTTCTGCTTTACTATTCACAAAATTACTACTCCAGTGTCTTAGTAAAAAAAAATTGATATAAAAGGAGTCCAGTTCTTCCATACTCATCCATTATTTCTAATTTTCTTGGTGTATCAAATAATTTTTGTGTAGCTACCTGAATTAACTCTTGTGTTTCTTGCTTTGCAGGTAACAACAGGAAGTATTCCAGTAAAGATGGCATCTGTAACAATCAATCTTCCCGAAATGACCAGCAAAGGCAACCCACTGATGTACCTAACTGCAGTCACCACAGATGAGGTATAGAACTGAATTCTGTTTTGGGAGTTTATCAGTACTACAAACATTAATTATCTCCCCAATATTATGGCTTAATTTAAGGGAATCCATACTCTTTCTCCTTGTCCCTTCCTCATAAAGAGGGAACCACAATGCCAGCAGTACATTAGGTTATTATTTTGCAGATGTGGAGTATCTGGATCTCTTCAATTAGGTCCTTCTCCAAGTTCCTGAGAAATTTATTGTAAAAATGAAATTATTAGATGAGGAAAAGCCCTTCAGGTCAATCTAGGGACAAAAAAAAAAAAAGTGTCATAAGAATTACTTACTCCTGACCAAACCCACATACTTTTAGTTCTCTAAAGAATTCAGCCACCATCTAAGCCTGGAAATATATATTACTACAATGAGTATAAACTCCCAAGTAGCATGTCATCCACTCTCATTCCTGCCATCTTTCCTAGGTCAGAGGTGTTACATGTGATGCTCAGATAAATCCACTGCAAATAGGGAAAAGACCTTATTCTCCATCCTTCATGAAAGAGAACTTCAGAGCTTCCAAAGAACTGGTGAGTAAAACCCAGGGCTGCAGTAAGCAGGACCTTCTGAGCTGAGGGAAGCAGAGCTGACCTTCTGAGCCCACTGCTGTGCTTGTGAGGAAAGCTGTGATGGGGTGGCATTCCTCATTTACAGAGCAGGAGCTCAGCCTATGGATATTCTTTCAGATACTGCATCTGCTTTAGCACATCCTGTAAGCACTTAATTTGTATCCACAGAACAGCAAGGGCAAGGGCAAAAATTCTAGATGTTGCAAGAATATTTTTTAAAGTGTATTTTTAATGCATGCTGTTGCTTCTTCTTGCTGTTTCCCCTGGAAGAACTGTAAGAACGTGAAGTGCAGTACCATCACATGCAAACTGGAACACATTGCACTGAAGGGAGAGTACTTTGTGAACGTGTCCACCCAAATCTGGAATGGAACCTTTGCTGCCGTGAGTATCAGCTGCATCTTTATAGAGAATACAATATTCAAGTATTTTCAAACTCCTGATATTTTTCAAAGTCCAGTACAGAGACCTCACTAAGAGAGTATAGAGTACTCTCAGAGTACTTATGGAGTACTGAGACCTCAGTCTAGAAAGACCTTCCTTTACTTTGTATTGGTGTTATTTTTCCCGATTGAAAACTTGAACGTGAAAGTAGTGAGGCTGCATAACGGAGGTGATAAAACTTCAGTCCAGCACAGAATCTAAGAAAATGCTATGATAGTGCAACCTTCACTGCTGAAAAAAGAGTTTCCTACATCTGTTAGAATCATTCTTGGGGAACTACAGTTTCCACAAAACTCATCATAGGACAGCAGAGCACAGTACCATCATAGTCTGTAAAATAATCATGCTTTTTAGCTTTTGAACATCACAGCACACATCGTGGTCATTTTAGATCACATCAAAATACCAAAGCCCTGTTAGTGCTGCCAGTTCTATTTGCTCTATTTGATAGAGAAAGTGTGGAAACCATCTTTAATTGATTTTTTGTGTTTATTAGAGTAGGTGTTAAGGAAACAGTCCTTGCTTAGAGACCTACAGGATGCTTCAAAAAACCATCAATATCTCAGCCTATTTTCAATCACCATGTGTCCTCGAGGATATATATAATCATGAGTTACCAGACTTTTGAAGTTAGACCATGTTTGCTTCTTAGCTGGGCAACCAACCAAATGATCTTGGAGCCCTGGGTTTGCCTAATGCGTCAGGAACATGACACGGTCTCCTTAGTGTGTCTGGTGATTGTTGTGGCAGGTATTAACATTTAACAGCAGGGCTGTTGTCAGCTCCAGCATTCAACTGTTAAAAGGAAAAGGTCAGGTTGATATTGTTAAATATGTTATGGCAGTGTGCGACAAAGAGCATCTGTCTGTCTTCAGTGTTTGTATTTTTCTAATCAGCTGGGTCAAGACCATTTGTTAGTGCTGTTAGGTATGCAGAAGGTGGAGACCTGAACAAAAGGTTATTACCCTCACTAACAAGTGAGTGGGAATGGTTTGTTTACCATCACTGGCTGATGGAAAGGAAAGTTCATATGTGACAGGTCTCCTCACATGTCCCATTTTGTAATTTTCTATTTGGTTGTAAAAAATTCAGCACAAATAGTCTAGCAAGCCCTCTCTCAATCATGCACATGATCAACCTTTTTATTTAGTGGCAATCAGCCATTGTCCAAGAAGGACATGGCAGGCTTGCCAGTACCTGCTAAGCAAAGAAAAGATGTGTTTAGGAATTGAGGTGCTTTGAAAAGTGCTCAGGTGTTTTTCTAAACTTTTAGGTGTGCAGGACACACTACTTGGGCAGATGGCCACAGTGCAGGGATGCAATAACTCACTGCAGAGCCAGTCAGTTTGGTCTGTTGGCCACTACAGACCCACAGCTGCCCACAGTACCTGGCCCTGCCACAGAAGAATGGCTGAGGAGGCAAAATGGCAGAGCAGGCCATTTGCCTTTGGGTCAGCTGGAGAGAGTGGTCCTGTGCTCCCACGGAGCTGAGGCCATTCCTTGTGGTGCTGTGGAACTGCAGCAGTGAACTCACAGTGTCTGCACAGCCATGCACCTCTCCTCCAGTACATCCACAGAAGGAAGTGGGATCTGGCACAAGGTCCGCTTTCAAATAGGAATTGGCTTAAGATTTTTGTCATCATCTCTGTTTAAGCTGAGAGAGCTATGTCAGAATTTGAGACGTGGAGAGGAACACATAGTGAAAGGAAAAAATAAATGGGGGAAAAACAGAAGCACTGGATAGAATTGAGGGCGGGGAGAAGTAAAAGAACATCCAGTTTCCATTTCTTTGAAAGGCCAGAGATATATTCCCATCTGTCTTTTGTTGCTGTGTCTCCTTTTCTCACTGCTGTTTCCCCCCATCTCTTGCCTGACAGCTTTGAAATAACTATAAAAAGGGTTACGGAAATATTTCCTTCTGTTTTGCTTGAACTGTACATTAAAGAAAAAGAAAAACCAGTTCCTCAATGTCACTGCTAAGTGGATTACCGATATATTATTACTTTGATTGACATGTTTGCTGGGGAAAAATATTAAAATAATTTTCTTAATACTGTGATTTTCTTTT